ATATATATATATGATTTTCACCAGGCACCAAAGTAAGGAATCTTATGGAAAAATGAAAGCATTTCAAAAACCCCAATGCAATGTTTGGTGCAGATTAGGTAACAGCAATATATCCACCACAAGATGACGGGGCATCAAAAGACGACATTTCTTAAGCGCACATGCTTCAGCAGCCATCCATAGAAATAGCTAAAGAACCCCTAATGTGTTTCTACTTATTTGAGAGGTATATATATACAATCCCTTTGAGAAGCAGGATTGAGAGGCCAGAACTAGAACACTAGGTACCTTTGTTTTCACAACTAACTCTTTTCTGCTTGGCGTTTCAGCCACGTCCCCATGCATTTTGGCTACAGCGGCTGCTTGGACCTCCACCTATCTCTTCTAGACATTAAGAACCACCAAATCATCATCTTCTCCTCATTCTTCTTCTTCTTCTTCTTCTTCTTCTTCTTCTTCTTCTTCTTCATTTATTTATTAATTTTTATAATAATCTGTTAATGTGCTTGCAGGCGTTCTTCAAAAATAATCAAATGGCTCAGAAGGCAAACATTTTGCTGCAGGGACTGTATGCCCCAAGAAGGACCCAAAAAGAGATAGGACACCTCCTCACATTGATTCTTTTCAGCTGTCAGATCCAAGCTGTGTTTCAATGTCCACTCGGCAGATGGGGCATTTCTTGCTGGTCGCTAGCCACTGATCCACACAGACTTGGTGAAATAGATGCATGCAAGGTAAACGCCTGGAAGAGATAAATGGCACAGTCTTAATTATCTATTTGGTTGTCACAATTGAGCCTGGGGCCACCATACAAGACCCTTGCAACAGGTTGTCCCAGAGAGCTCTTTTGGGAGGCAACCACCTACAAATCACCATAAAAGAAGAAACACATTATCCAAAAATGACAGCAAAAAAGGACACAGATTTGCATAAAATCCTGCAAATGTGCAAAGAGGAAAATTTGAAATGGTGGCCATAATTTAAACAAAAAGGTGAAACATTTCAACAGAACTTAAAAACATTAGTTTTTTGGGCCACAACTCCCCAAATCCTCCCAACAACATGACTCATTGCACCACACCTCCCAGAATCCTCCACCCACCATGGACATGCTAACTCACTGGAATGAGCAGCCAGAGGTCTCCAATATTTGTATGCCCTTTTGTGCCTTATTGCCTCCCTATGTTTTATTTCTCAGTTGCCACTGCCCATCTCAAACTTGTCTATGGCTGGGTCTGACTACAACAGAGGGGAGTAAGGTAGGTAAAAAGTTCTGTAGTTGTAGCAAAATGTGTATAGGGCCACAGAAATACTTTACCACATACAGGTGCACATAAAGAAGAGAAGTGCTAGGGACTGTGTCAAGTACAACACCTGAATGGCTTACTATTTTAGCTGTATGGTAATATCACATAACCTGGGAAAATTTGGAAAGAGTTGTCAACTGAAGCCTTCATATTTGGTGGGGGGAAATGTGTCACTAGTCCACATGGAGCAGAATCTGTTAGGATTATTTTTTTAAAGTGAGATGCTGAACAGGCAGGCCTCATTATTCTATGCTGATGAATAATCAGTCGAATGCCTGGAATGTGACAGAGAGAGAAACTGTGGATTTCCATAAGACAATATACAACACCCCAGAATTCTAATTCCCATCAGAACCTGTGGCAGCTGGTGGTTTCCATATCAGTGGAATGGTACACTTCAGTACTAAGCCTGAACTTTAAAAGAGCTATCCAAGGCACTGATCATATTTTTAGGGATACAGTTCAGTACCTAGCTGAGATGTAATAGCTCAAGTGGTTAAAATGCTGATTGTTGATTGTAAGATCAGCAGGTTGGCAGTTCAAGGCCCAGGTGCTGCATGATGGGGTGAGCTCCTGTCACTAGTCCCAGCTTCTGCCAACCTAGCAGTTTGAAAGCATGCAAATGCAAGTAGATAAATAGGTACCTCTTCTCAGTGGGGAGGAAAACAGTGTTCTGTGCAATCTTGCTGGCCACATGATCACAGAGTAGTCCTTGGGCAATGCTGGCTGTTTGAGTTAGTAACAGAGATGAGCACCACCCCCTATGGTCAGACACAACTTGACAACCTTGTCAACAGGGAATATCTTTACTTTTAATTCAGCACCTGGGATAGATCCTTTAAGGTTTAGACTAAAACCCAGAGTGGACTCACCACGCCATTGATACAGAAGCCACCAGGCACTACTGGTCATTGTTTCCTGGTTTTGATTCAATTTCCCATCATTCCTAACTATTGAGCTTTTGGGGCTTTACAAGAGCTTTAGTCCAAAGTAGTTTGTCTTATACTTGGAAGCAATGGCCAAAATCCCACATCAGAGTTCCACAGCAAAAGGTGCTGTATGTGGAGTTAACTTTGATTGCACTACTACAAAACTGTTCAATGGAACACATGTGCAAACATGTAACCAAATCCATAACCAATGTATGGATCCATAACCCATAACCATAACCAATCCATAACCAAATCCATAACCAATATAGATGTCCCATATAGGCAATCCACTTTGGCAATTGTGAGCTGCAAACTTGAACTCTGGTCCTTCCTTGGAAGGTGCACATTCCAGTCCGGGAGACCTAAGAAAGCTTCCAGTCTAACTTTGTGCACTGGACAGAAATTCCCAACTGCTTCTGTAGAGCAACTTACACATATGTAAGACACCATCAGGATTCCAGTTATTGTGCATTGTTAGCATATCCTACTTAACAGTTATGGGGTTTCATACTTGATATCTAGCATCAGGCCTGTTTTTGAGAGCTCTGGGACATTAGGGAGTTACATGTGTGAGTAGGCACAATGGCCCGCGGACATGTGGGAGACCTAGACAGTACTAGAATAAATGTTAAATGGTTTACAGATCCACTGC